CAGAAACCAATGAGCCCTGGAGAATGACTGAATACTATTCTATCACTGGCCTAAAAAAGTAGGAAACCTGATAGCGCTTGCTGTGTCCAAAGAGATCTTATTGCTTTTCCAGATCTGTTGGTGTTCTGAACAAAGACCTCAGGGTATGTGATCAGTGATTTTTGCAAGTACGTTCTTTTTCATTCTGGTTTAAAACAGAGAATCAGAAACAGTTTGCATTTATGTGGGACAGAAAATAATATGCCTTTACAGATCTGCCATGCGGCTATGTTAACTCTCCCTCTGTCACAGCACATTTCAGTGAGTCCCAACTGCCTAGAGAGCTCATAAATGTCGTAGGAATCTCTTATGTCAGCAACCTGACACTGGTTGGGAAGGACAAGTATGATGCTTCAGGAAGACACATGCACTCCACAGGTGGGTTATGAACACTGTAAAGATTCAAGGAGCAGGGATTTGATTAAGTTTTTAGGGATCCAATTGTTACTGGCTTTTGGATCCCAAAGAGATTCTTTTCATGTTCTTGGTGTTCTGAACAAAGAATCAGATGAGACACATGAGAAAGGTAGGGAGGATTTACATGTGTTGAAGATAGAGAAGAAATAAACTGTTCAGAGTGAGAGTAGGCAGATGAAGAGATTCACAGCAGTCAAGAAGAATAATGACAGAACTCTTTTGTATATGGGATTCCTAGATTGCCTCCCCCATGCAAACAAGGCATTTGGGGCAGTTGTCCTATCAGAAACTCACTGGACCTGGGGTCAGATGTAAGCTTACATATCAAAGCCTTGAGGGCATGAGGAAGCCACATGAGCAGGTGACCCAGACTCAAGCCACTAAGTCTAGTAACTGGGTACAGCTGCAATACCCTTCTCATTTGCCTTTGGATTCTTTGTTGTAAGGAAGCCGGGGCACATGGAGAGGCTGCGTGGAGACACTACAGCTGACAGCCTGAGCTAAACACCAGTGCAGACATGTGAGTGCATCTTCAGGTGGGTCTAGCCAAGGATTCGTCTTCTGGATGAATCCCAGATAGCTGGAATGAGAGAAAAGACATTCTGCTATGCCTTGTCCAAATTCCTGACCCACAGAAACTGATTAATTTGCAATCTATCATTTTGAGCTATATGAATATTGTTTAGTATGTAACAAATACATGACTAATGAAGTTTTATCCTAAGGAAATAATCTAAGATCAAACAAAACCTTGGAAACTACCTAAGTTTCTCATCAAAACTATGAATTTTTTCTTCAGTTTCGGTGCTTGGGAAGACCACCTGGACCCCACTGAGAAGAGCCATTGAAAAAGATAGAAAGCAGTTCAGAAGAAAGGAAAAGAGCTAATTAATTGAGAAAATACTTCCTCTTGATACTGAGGTACTGGATGGACTATAACAGTGTACCGATCTACAGTGGACTTGCAGAAATTATTGACTGAGTTAGCAGAGAGTTCCTTACCCACCTGACCTTAGTTGTAAAGCAGGTGTTGTGGGACCACATAGAAGAAATCAAGTCCTGTTTAAAGGAAGTGCAGAAGAAGGGTCTGTTACAAGATAAAATTCCTAAAGTAAATGGAAAACAAGAAAAATTCTCACAGAATGCAGAGAAAAAGTTCAAAAAATTTAAGATGAGGAAAGAAGAAAAAGAGGGAGATAGAGAGGGCCTGTCCAGGAGGTACAATCTGTGTGATAAGGACTACCTTAAACAGAGGACAAAGCAAATGAAGTTCAAACAATAATTAGTTAAACTTTCCAGAGTTGAAGAACAAAGTAGATCTGCAAATGAAGAAGGCTCACAGGGTACCTTTAAAATTTAACGAGAAGAAAGTATACCTAGGCATATCCTTGTGATGTTTAAGTTTCAAGGATAAAGAAAAAAGTTTGCAAGTATCCAAAGAGAAAAAGCAAGTTGTCTATAAAAGCAGCAAAAATCAGACTGATCACAGATTTTTCTCTTACAATTCTAAATACTAGAAGACAATGGAACAACATTTACAGAGGTTAATGGGAAAATAATTTTGAATCAAGAATTATATACCCTGCCAAGTTAATATTTGTATATGAAGGCAACTGGAAGATATTCTCAGATACCAAGGGGTTAAGAAAATAAACTTATCAACAACCTTCTCTGAGGGGTTAGGGATTTAGCTCAGCGGCAAAAGCGCCTGCCTGGCATGCGCAAGGTCGTGAGTTCGGTTCCCGGTACCGGAGATAAACAAAAAACAAACAAACAAAAAAAAAAACAACAACCTTCTCTCAAAATTTTGCTGAATGATTTAAATAGAGGCAGGTAGTTGTATGGAAGATTTGATGGTTAGAATTAGTTAAGAACATGATGTTGAAAAATCGTTACATATAGGCTAGCAAACCTAAATGCAGACTAGATTTGTAAGCTGGACCTAAAATTTTGTTTATGTAGTTTTCAGCTGTCATAATGCATACCAAATGTTCAATGTAAATAAATACAGCTTTATTTTTTACCATATGATGTAAAAATGGATATTGTTGTGCCAAATGTGTGTTAGATAGAAGTGCTTTGTCACCAAGGGCAGGACAAGTACTGAAGACAGTCTAAATGTTCATCTGACAAAATTGGAAAATGGTACAGTTCAAATTCCTTTAAAAAACTAATAAACTTGTAATTTTAATACTAATAAAGTAAGGAGAAAATTTCCAAATCACTGGTTGGAGATGGGTGGTTATGTCTGAAATACTGATAATGAAAACCAATAATTGTTCCATCAGATGGCAATTCATACAAGTCAATTTATCACTAAGTTGTGGACAAAAATAGATTACATACGTTCCAGGTTTCTATAATAGAAAACAAGTGAAAATCCAATAAAAAGTAGCAAAGAAAAATACCAAGGAAGAGTTAAAATTTGCATTAGAAGTATTGACAGAAATAGAGGTGAGTTATACTCATAAATTGGTTAAATTTCCAATTAGTAAACTCTAAGTTGAGTTAAAAAATCAGTCTCTGACTTAGATAGCCACATTTGTATAAAACAAAGGTAAAAGGGGTTTAAAAGTAACAAAAACTCTCTAGGTCATTAGAAGTGGAGAGTAACATTTTTATTAGGCAGAAATAAGGATGCCACAAGAAATTTCACCTTTAAGAGATTACGTGGCACTCATGTGCAAGATTTTCAATCAATATCTTGATATGAATGGCAGTTTTACTATTATACGGTGCTATAGGTACATAATAGGTACATAAATATAGGTACATAAATTTTACCTATAGGTACATAAATTTTAAAATAGGTACATAAATTTTAAAATACATTCAAAATTAATGATTTCTTGTACTTAAAAGTCATTGGACAGTTCTTCAGTTAAAGAGAATACATGTAGCAAAAAAAAAAAAAAAAAAAACATGAATTTTGAAGCTGGTGTGGTGACACACACCCATAATCCCAGTAGTTGGGAGGCTGATGCTGAGGCAGGGGAGTCATCACAAATTTGAGGCCAGCCTGGGCTACATAAGTAGTAAGTTCAAGTCCAGACTGAACTACATAGTGAGACCCTGTCTCACAAAAATTAAAAAGCTAATTTTGATAACCTGTATGATGCAGTCAGCAATATTTTTGATAGTAGTTCATGATGGGAAGATTACCATTTTCCCATCTTTGAAAAAATAGGAATATAGTGACTTTTTAAAAAGCCAGCCAGATGTGGTAGCACACATCTGTAATCCCAACACTCAGAAGGCCGAGGCAGGAGAATCATTGTGAGTTCATGACCAGCCTGAACTGCGTAGTGAAACCCTGTCTCAAAAAAAAGAAAGCCAACTGTGTAAAAGAGTACTTATTTCTGTATGTCCTCACTAACCCAACTCTTTCCCTGTTTGCCAGTTAAATTGGAACTTAATTTTTAATGCATATTTGTCATTGTTGTGAGGTTAAAGATTTCTTCAAATATATACAAGCTTTATTTCTTTTGTGATTTGACTACAATTTTCCCATTTATATTATAATGTTGTTTTTCTGTCCAATACACATATTTTTCTATGTTCAAGATATCATTCCTTTGTATGTATGTCGTAAATTTTTCCCAGTTTTGTCATGTGTTTTCTTCATTTTGTTTCTAGTGTTGTTCTTGCCTTCTAATTAAACCCAAATGTTGGGATCACATAGGGTCTGCTATGCTTTTGGAGCTACAGAGGAAGTAGACCCCGATTCTTTCAGGCTGTGATGGAGACGGCCGTCACACCCAGGATCACCAAGTGACAAAGTTTGTAAGCCAGCAGGTTTTGGGACTAGTAAGATAAACAAAGCTTAAAACTTCATCTTCACTCTGGGACAGCACAAAACCATCAGCATACTAACCTGTACAGTGGGCTTGCGAAGTGCTAGGAGCTCAGAAGACAATAATGATAGTAGGACCATTTGAGGTTGAAGCAAGCTTGGGAAGGAGCTAAAGGGTAACCAGAGCAGTGAGAGGTGTACAGTCTCCAGCTTGGTGAAACAGGAAGATATTACAAATAGGGAGTCATTGAGAAGGCACGACAAGCCTGGACTAACCCGGAGAAACCAAAGAGAACAGGATATGGAAAGAAAGAACAGAGCTATTCCACTCATTTTGTTCTTGCTGCCTGTCTTTCCTTATGTTTCTGCCCAATTTCCTTACAGGAAAAGTGATCAGAGCCTGTATCTCTGGCCCACGCAGTCTGCACCCTGGAAGCAGTCAGCCCTTAAGTCCTGTGCCTTGGGAAGATGTCCAAACAGCCCAGGGTCCCTGAGGGAAGAGGCCCTGCCTCCCTGTGGCTCTGGGCAAGATTTCTGACAGCCTTCACTCTGCACTCCCTCCCTTGCCTTCCACCCAGGTTCAGTCATTGAGTTCTCTGGCATCAGTGCCTCTTAAATATTTGCAGAATGCTCTCCCACGCCCCTCAGTTGGTGCTGAGGTCAGGCCAGCAAGTTCTGCTCATTTAGGGTTTTCTCATAAATCATTCTGTCCCTCCCCTTTAATGCTTCGGTGGCTTTTCCCTCCCGTGCCTACGGAGCCTCCTCAGAGCTCAGCGCTCCTGCTGGTCTCCAGGGAAGAACCTATTCCCACCACTGGCCTCTGAGAAAGTCAGGCTGCACAGACTTCCCACGGAGAGCTGACCCCACTCCTCTATGCCAAATCAGGGAGCCAGGTAAGCTCACGGGTGCCCTGATGCCACACTCATGCTTCCAGAGAGGTCCTCAGATCCAGGGAACAGAGCGGGCCTTTTCATTAGGCATGGGTGGGAGGCAGCGCCTTGGGTTACATTCCTGGCTCAGCTTGCAGTTTGCACAAATCACTGGCTCTTCTGCTGGGAAGTGACTCTCCTAACCACATAGGGCCCAGCCCTGAGCTTCCTATAATAAAGCCTAGATGGGTGTCCATCCCTAGTGTCCAAGCACAAGACAACATGACAAGAGAACAAACTTCCAGGGTGAACTCAGGGTGGCTGTTCACACCATATTTATCCCTATCATCTTTATCATGAGGATTACATTCCCTTGAGGCTGAAAATCCTTTCTTCCAGAATTCCACATAGGAAACAACTATGAGACAACAGCAAGAATCAAATATTCTACCATGTCCAAAACATTGGTCACATTCAGAGCTAACCCTAATAATAACTTCTATTTAGTGCATGTCTACTCTCTGCCAGGTCTTGCTAAATCCTACTAAAATTATGCAAAGGGGATATCTTCACTTTGTTACAAATGAAGGACAGAGCCCAGGGAAATCCAGAAATTTACCCAAAGTTACACACTAGTAAATGGTTAAGCGAGGCTTCCAGAGCTTTGCTCCCCCAAACCACCCTGAACTCAGGGGGTACAGAAGGCAATCAGAGAATATCTACAACAGTTAAGCATTTTGGAAGATAAATGAGAAGGTATTTGGCCAAGGTCTTAGGATCTAGTTTGTGGACTTCCTTGCACCTTGTTTTCATGTGGTATTTCTGTAATCCCCAGCTCCACAAGTTTTGTACCCACTGGCTCTGCTTCTGTAGATTCAACCAACCACAGACTGAAAGCAATCAGGGGAGGAAAACTGCATCTATACTGAACATCAGCAAACTGTTTCCTGTTCTTATTACCTAAACAATACCATATAACAACTATTGACATAGTACTCATATTAGTTTCTATAAATTATCTAGAGATCATTTAAAGTATAGAGGAAGGGATATGTAGGTTCTATGCAACACTACTCCATTTTACATAAGGCACTTGAGCATGTGCTGATGTCAGTATGTCAGGGGGTCCTGCACCCAATCTCCCTTAGATACTGAAGCACAACTATATTAGGCAACAGAAATACAAATAAGTTAAATAATTATGAAACCTTCTATATGCCCAGAATCATTGTGTTCACCCTAGATTCACGACAGAATACTGCTCAGGGTAGCTGTAGCCCATCTATTGGTTGGTTCATGTAGTTTAACCTATTTGCCATATTTACTCAAAAGTCCAGTCAGACTAAACGTGTGGGATAAAAATAGATGCTAAGTCCCAGTGGTCAAGGAAAGAGGATGCATCATAATTGTTAAAGGTGTGCAGAGATCAGGGTGAGGCAGAAATCAGAGGAGGATGGAACCCAGTCAGGAAGCACCGCTTCTGCACTGCCAAAGCCCTCAGTCTTTGAGAGCTGTAGAGTTGGGTCTCCCTCCGACAGAAGGAATCCTCTGTGCCTATTTATACTGCTGGTTGATACAGGGGCCTTCCCCTCTCCTGGGGGCAGCAGCTTGAGCCTCAAGCTCCCCTTGACTGACCCCAGGGCCAAGGCTCTTCACCCCTTCAGACCCCTGACTGTGAATGCACAAAAGAAGCCCTTTGTTGCTGTTACACTGGGACCTTTTATTCTCCCTAAGGCCAGAGCGTCTGTGTGCACAGGGCCCGCCTTCTCTCTTCCTAAAACACTTTGATCCTCCTCCCATTTCAAATCTTGCTGGCTTTTCAACACCCTCCCAGACAATCGAGTTCTTTTCTTCTCAATAATCAAGCTGTTCTCCTTATTTCATTTCAGTTCTCTCCAGTAGCTCTGGCCATGTAGTGTTCCAGGAGACAGGTCTCAAGTAATAGCAGAAACATTGTATGCAGTTGTTTGCTGGTGAGAGTATGGATGTTCTTCTATAAAGATCAGAAAACATTTGGGAAATGAAACAGTAAGAAAAGTACAAGGGAAAATGACAGCAAAAGCCAGGGGAAAATTATAAAGAAGTTTCTATGAAATCGTACGATGCAGTTTCTTCCATGGGCAACTGACCAATTATGAATTTCTCATACCAAGGCAGGAAATTAGGGCATGGCCACCCGGCTGGGCAAGTGAGTGTGACCTGCCTATCACAGAGATCCAGGACATGTACACCCAACAAAGGACGCTATCTTCAATTTGTATGGTGAGAAACCAAGCAGGTTTTTGATTAGGATGGCCTAGATTCGATGTCAACCTGGGGAGTGGGAGACCCAAAAGTCTGGGGCCATCAACCTCAAGGTCACTGTGCTTTCCTTCACAGGGGCCCATTCACACTCTGTAGAGCTTACTTCATTTCTTACCTTTACCTGACCTGCGCTCACTCCACAGATCATATTTATTTTCCTTTTACTTTCATAAATATAAAACTTCGCTACCTTTTTCACTTGTCTTGACCAATTGTTTGTTCAGGACAGAAAGAACCTAGAAAGCACATCCACAAGGAGATGCCAAAACCTGATAAAATATTATCTATGACTCTCCCATGCTCTTATTCTCTCATAATCAATGGTTGAGTCTCTCTAACTAATCTTTTCCTCTCTGTTTTCTCTTTCTCTGCCGTAGTTTATATTAATTCATAGCTGGTCCAGGACTAGGCCTCTTTAGCTGATATCTTAGGGTCTCCTTTCAATCCTTTCCATCCATCCTACGTACTATCAGCAGTTCCAGCCTTATGTAGTCCTACTGTGAGATGTGTCACTTCTCACTTAAAAACTGGGCAGAGCTGGCCAGGCACAGTGTTGCACATCTGTATCTCAGCTATCAGGAGGCTGAGGCGCCACCCCCACACCTCATAAATGAACCTCACTCAATTACAATGCACCTCTGTCCCTTGAGGGCCCACACTCTATTTCTTGGAGTATGTACTTTTAAATTTCTGCTAATAAATCCTTTTATGCCTTTACTGATACATCCTGAAAATTCTTTTTCTATGCTGGGAGTCAGGAAACCTGCTACTTTATTCTAGGGATAGGGAAGGTCCAGGTTCCTTCTCTCAGTGGACACCTCCTCACACCCTCTCTGGTGACATTTCCAATGTTTAATGCACAAACATCTTGCATCCCATACAAGGTCTTCTTTGATCTTTCTGTCTCACTGCCATCACTTCCCAGAGATTGGCAGTGTAGGGTGGAACATGCATGTACTGGATGACGGGTCATGGGCTGGGATTCTGATCCTGTCTACCACTCCTAGCCATCACTTTGGATAAAACCACTTAAACTTTTGAGACCTAATATCCCAATAGTAAAATAAGGAAAGCACGATTCATGAGCTCTGCAGTCACTCCCAGTTATAACATTGTGAGTCTGTTGTCTCTCCCAATTCTAACATTTTGAGATTCCAGGAATACAACACTTGTGTATGCCATACTGCCACTGACTGACAAAAAACCCTCGTACTTTCCTAACTTTGTTCCTGTGAACATGTCTTTTCCTTACTTGGAATAGTCTTTCTCTCCTCCCATCCAAGTCAAGCTTCTCTGGTCCGGCAAAAATGAGATCTCTGCTTTTATCCCGACTTCCATCATACATGTGGTGTCTGTCCACACATGCCTCAAATATGAGTGCTCTGTGTGTGTTGCCGCCTGGTCTAACTATGTGGTCAGCTTTGTGCTGTAAGTTAGGTTGTCTTATATTGTCTATGTCCTTGAATATAGTAGGCAACCCATAAACAAATGTACCATTTCTGATGGGAAGAGCATTGGACCAGCAATCAGGAAATCCAAACTCTACTTCACCAACTAAGAATTAAGAACTCTACCAGTTTGCATCTTAGTTTTCTCATCTGTAAAATGTATTTCGAACCAAGATATTAGCCCCTTCCCATCTGAAGTTCCTCCCACAACTGCAGTCTTCTGATAAAGGATATCTGAGCCTTCTTGGTGTCTGTTTTACGTCTTTCCAAAGCTTTTGGTCTGGTTCTTGGACTAAGCAATAAAATGTTAGAGCTTTTAAATAAGGTACATCAATCTCTTCCCAGCCTGGGCTACCTCTGAGATCAATTGGAATTCAACTATAATAAATGCTACAATATGGATTTCTAGACTGTTTCAACTGGCTGAGTTATACCTCTAAAACAGATTCTGTTTACCCAAGAAAAATGGGCCCTTTGGCATGAAAGAGAGCTCACAGTGTTCCTTTTCCTGGAAGAGGTCTGCTGCCACCACAACTCTGTTGCCAGCTTCATAATGACAAGGGTGTGATAAAGTTCCAGAATATTCCCATTGGCAGATGTGTAAGTGACGGAGTAGAGATATTAGGCTCTTACAACAGAAAGTAACACTTGGTTCCTAATGGTGTTTCCAGAACATAATTTTTTCTATACTTATTGTTTCAGTTACAGCTGGAAAGATGTTGGAGAGCTTTAAAGAACGCATCACAATGACACATTTCACCTGCTGGTAGGACTGTCAAAGTATGTAATTACCAAAGAATTAGTAAGCTTATCCTTCTTCTCTGACTTGGTACCACATATTCGCACATACACACATACACACACACACACACACACACACACCCTTCCTCAGCACACCCCATTAGTGCCTTTATTATATCATTTTAGGCAAAACACAGCACTGTGTCAAGATTTTATAGACAATAAAATATGCTGTGCAGGAAAAGGAATGGAATGGAATAAGAATTTCTATGCTAAATGCCTAGTTCTGTTCTCAGTCACCCACTCCTACCCTTCCCCTCTCTAGGCAATAATAATAGCTGTTATTATTGCCAGGGATGAAACTCAGTGGCACAGCATCTGCCCGGCAAGAATGAGGTCGTGAGTTCAATTCCCAGTACCAAAAATAAAAATAATAGCTATCATTTATTGAGTGCTTAAAAGCTGGTAGGCACTGGGCTGATAGTCTTAATACAGTAGTATCTCAGTTAACACCAATGGGAAATGGGCATTGTTATCATTGTCTTCTAGAGATGGAATTGAGGTTTAGAGAGAGCTGGGGCCCCAGAATCCAAGAATAAGTATCAAAGTCAGGAATAAAACTCAGATAGCTGTAGGTCCAGAACCCTTAGTCATAAGCACTTTGAAACAGCCATCTCCATATCTTTCTGGCCTTACAGGGTTCCCAGTCCATTTCATTTTGTTTGTTTGTTTGTCTTGTTTTGTTTTCTCATTTCATTTGTTTGGATAAGTGCAGATGGCTGGGATCGCCCCAAGGGTGTTCTAAATAGTTTCTCAACAGTTATTCCTCTGAACTTAGAAAGAAATATAGCCAAGATTTCTCAAGGCTACTTAGAAACATGAATCTGTGATTCCTTTCTTGTTTTTGCAGAAAGGATTATATCCCTACAGTGATACCTATGTATTCCCACTTCCCTGCCTCATCCTCATAATGAAAACAAAACAGAACTCTAAGTATCTGGGTGGGATGAGAAACTGGCCTCATACCAGCAGATTTAAATACCTCCTGTCTGCTCAGCATCCTGTGAAGTGATAAGGGAAGGTGTGGCTGAGAGGGGAGGTGAATCATCTTACCAAATGCCCTTTTGTTTGTAGGATGAATGTGGGCATTAATGCTGAGCACCTTCCTCTTCCAGAAAACAATGAATCTCCACTGATTCTCTGACACCCTTTCAGGCATCTCCTTTTGGCTGTCAGAACCAGGCCCATAACTGAGATCCAAGCTGTTGTCCCTGGCTCCTGAATTGGCACCCATGCCAGCCCAGAGGATGGATCTGGTCCCACAGCCTGTGGCTATCTACAGTGCTCCGAGCTCACCCCTTGATGAAGAAATCAGAAAATCAGAAGGATTTCATAACTTAGGCAGCATATCCTGGTCCAAACCAGACAGCACCAGCTCTCTGATGTCCCCAGGTTCCCATATGAACCCCCAACCTGAACAAGATGGCCCCAAATCAATTATTAAAGCCCCAGAAAATGTTTTCATGTAGACCTCCCACAACGTGGGCCCTAAAGACTTTGATCAGAGTCAGCAGTGCTAGCAGCCAAGTGATACTTCTATTCCTCCTCGGCCATGCTCTTGGGAGTAGAGCTCTTGAGGAATCTCAAAGGTTCAACAGGACTGTGATTAGTGAAGCAGGACTTGGGCACATCTGGGTACCTCTTTTGACATGCTGTCATCAGCAAGCCATTACCACCCTACCTAGTACCCAGGACCATGCGATGTGGGAAAATGTGGTCTAAATGCCTAAATGCAAAACTGATTCAAAAACATAGGCCTCTGAATGTGAGAATGTTTTAGGAATACCTTCCTCAATCTATTTCTACCATATTTTCCTTTTTTATGTATGTACAAGAGTGAGCTATGATTAAGAAAAAACTAAGTAAGTGTAAAAAACATTTTTAAAGAATAAAATAAAAATTCTAATAGAAAAAAGTACCTTAATTCATAGTTATTATAGTCTAAATGTTTGTGTCTCCCAAAATTCATACGTTGAAACCTAATCCCCAGGTTGGAAACCTGTGGGAGATAACCCGGTCATGAGGCTCGAGCTCCATCCATGAACAGGATTAAAACTCTCACAAAGAGACTGCAGAGAATGGCCTTCCTCCTTACACTAGGTGAGGAGGCAAAAGCAAAGCACCATTTATGAAGCAGAGAGTGGACCTCCACCAGACACTGGATCTGATGGTGTCTTGGTCTTGGACTTTCTTGCCTCCAGGATGGTAAGAAATAATCTTCTTTCTTTAGTCATTACCCAGTCTACAAAGTATTTTGTTATATCAGCCCAGTGGACCAATATTTTAGCCCCATGTCAACTAGCCAGTTAATGACCAACCCAAGACAGGCATCAAGGACTTGACCCATCCCAGGATCTTTTGGTTCTGGCTCCAGTCCCCTAGGTTCTGACACTCTATCTCCATTTCAAGAGTCCTTCACAGGCTGCTTGCAGCTCTGCTTGAGTCTGTCATCCCTGCTGGTCTCCCCCAACCCCTGCCTATACGCAGCAAAGGGGAGAGTGAATATCTATGACTGTATCCAGCTTTCCAGAATCAGATACTTTCCTTCTTCTTGAATGATCACTCTGGGTGACCAGAAGCACAATCAGCCAGCCTATGCACTGGAAAGGGACTTCACCCCAGCTAGCCCAACCATTACAGCCTAAGCCCCTCGGTTTTTGGCCTTTCCCTAGGAAGTTAGGATCTTGAGCCACACTGGGAATAGGCAGATAGAGAGATCTCAGATGGGTTAACTGAAAAGTTGGCAGAGGGGAATGGAAGGCAGAAAATTCTCAAGTCTCCGACAGTTAAAGTGCTTCCTAGAGGGGGAAGAAAGCACAAAGATCAGAATCTGAGAGTGGGGCTGGGGAGCAGCGAGAGTCAAAACTTGAACTCAGCCATCCTCTCGGGACCCTGGGATAATGACCCAAACCTGTGGGTCAACTCATATTAGGGCTTTCTCTGAGTGAAGGCTAACATAAAAATCTTTGGAAGTCCTAACAAGATTCTTCAGAGGCTTAAAGAATAGGAGAGTATGGAACTGAGGAACTAGTGTTGTTTTTAAGCCTTGCGGTTGCCTGGAAAGACTAGGCAACTAGAAAGTTCAGGTGCCCAGAGTAAAGAAATGGTAAGACTGGCCATTGTTCGGAGAGCCTGCTAACAAACCATGGGAACCAGCATAATGGGACGATCCTGTGTTGTGCAAACAGTCTGAAAGTCTAGTCTCAGCTCCACCATTTGTGCACCATGTGGCCTTAGCTTTCTCATTTGAATATGGGGATAAAAATAAACACTTCAACAGAGTGTTGGAGAACAAAATGAAATAATGTACACAAAGCTCTCAACTCATAGCAGGTGCCCCCTAAATATTTGTTCTTTCTTCTAAGCCTTAAAGATTCTACCAGTCAGGGTTATGTTTAAAAATATCTTTTTTAAACAATAGAAGCCTTTGTAAAATTGTCAGGAGTCTTTCCTTAGAAGCTGTGAGATTTGCAGGTTGCAATTAGATATCATTTTAATAACTGTGTGAGCTGTGTGGTCCTACTGGTCAGGAAAAATATGGAAAGAAGATAGAATTCCACCAGTGTCAAAGGTCACTGGAGCTAGATGGAAAAGAAATTAATAGAGCCTAGACAAAGAAAAGTAAAGTCAGTTAAATCATGTGACAGATCTGACTTGGAGGCACAACTCTGTGACTAAGTGGGGCTAAATGGAAATGGAAGTAATCAGTGGTAACACCTTAAATTCTTACCACCCTGCACAATGCTGGTCTCAACAAATAGGACAGAAGCCAGGAGTGTTCAGCTGTGCAGCCGTGCTACGATACACATCCCTGTGTACAACATCAGACATTTGCGACAGCGTGAAGTTCCTGGTATAAGCCGTAAATAGAACTGACAAGGCTAAACTTCCAGGTAAAATCACTGAATTCTTTCAAAATTATGTAGGATGGAGACATTACTTCCTCAGTGGGTAAGCACTAAGAATAAAGTCCTTACCTGAACCAAACTTAGAGCATGAATGTTTATGCATTAAGAAGGAATCTACACATTTGGTAGTACAGATATTTATAATATCCAAGAGAATTTTGAGTGTAATAAAATATACCTGCATTGAAAATTCCTGTTTGAAATGTGCAATTGAGTAATTGATTTAGATTTGTATATTTAAGCATAATCTTACTGTTTATACACAGCATTGGAACAGTTAAGAGTACTTAATCACTATATATGTAAGTTTATTTTATTAAGTTTATGAGTTACTTAAGGAGTTGGGAAAGCTTATTTTGTTAAGACTTCAAAATGAGGTTAAAATAGTCCATTAATAAATGCAGTTTTAAAAGCTCAGAGGCATTTAAGTCTATAAATAGGCCCAATTACTAATCAAAGGCCCCCTTAAATATAATTGCCAACATTTGCCAAATGTAGACTAATAAGATTAGCCAATTGAATTTTAAGGTATAACTTATAAATTAAATGCAAGTTTTTCAAAGCCAAAGAAACCTCTGAATAATATTTCCTATATAAAACATTACTCCTGGGACATGGGGAACCCTCCCTTTGGAAAAAAATGAAATCTTAAGAGGTAAAATCTCAATAAATAGATCAGAATACTAATTTCACAGAGGAAGGGGCTTGGATCCAACTTGGTCCACCTCTTGGCTTCTCTCTCAATCCTCCCTTCCCCCTTCCTCACCTGGTTCTCTCTACCCTGTGGGAAGACATCCTGAGTAGCACCAGGGTAGCTCAAAAGAGAAAATATACTAAATTATAAAGAGACCACCAGCTTTGAAATCACTCAGCCTTGAGTTTAAATAGCAATCTGTGAGTGGCTAAAAAATGTATCTCAATGCTCTGAATTTTGAAAATGCTTACTCCGGGAATTGATAGAGTGTATGCAATCTTCTTTTTCAACCTCTACCACCAGCCACCAGGGGGTATTGCTGTGAACAAGTTACCATCCTACCCAAGAATAGCTGGTGTTGAGCACATGCATGAATAATATAACCAACAACAGCTGCCCCTGCTGCTCACAGTGGGATGAAGAAAACAGAATGGCCATTGATGTCAGAAAGATCTGGCCTGGCGTGAGCTCTACCCATCACTACCTTATGGAACTGTAGCCTCTGAGCCTCACCTTCCTCTTCTGTGGAAGGAAGACGATTGGCCAGTGTTGAGAGCAGGTGAGGGGGTCTGTGCGGAAACACCTAGCCCTGTGGCCAGCACATACAGCAGACTGTCTCCACACCATGTAGTCTCCATGCCTACAGCAGGTTCTCCCAGACCCCACTCTACACACAAAGACAAAGAAGTGCAGGTAACATAAGGTCAACATCCTGTCACACCCTGAGGGTAGGGAGAGGACTGGAATGGTTGCTAGGCAAGAGGCTCAGCATTCTCTCCCTCACTTATGGCCCTGACTGACCTTGACAAACCAGTGAATAATCTGGAGCAGACAAGCTCCAGCTGGTTCTATTCAAAGTTTCTGTCCCTTTCACCTCTTCAGAAGTTCATACAAAATACTGCAGCAATATCTGCCCACTGCCAACCCCAGGTCCTTTCCTCTTCCTTCAGAATTTACTGGTGGAGACATTGGCTCATAACCCCCTAGTTTGCACATCGATTTTCTCAACACCTGCATAACTCTTCAGCCACCAAGTTTAGGGCCTTCTCCTGACCTGAAGAAAAGATGAGAGACCGTTAGAGTGGAGTGATAGCTGATCAGGCCAGAATTCACCCCAAATTGCAGCAAGATACTTTTGGTATCAACAAAACACTCTCCAACAAAGATACTTCTTAGAGCTCCCATTGCTGAGCACAAGCTTCCCACCCAAGCAGCCATGTTTTTAATGTCAAGACTCAAAATCCCCAGAAATATATTGTCTTTCTCCACTGGAAAGGGACAAGACACCAAAGGTGGAACTACATGAGCTGTGTGGTATTTATCTCTAAGCTTTCCAGCCTTTCCTCTCTTTTTCCCTTAGATGCATAAAATAAATGACCCAGATGAATTTCTGGGCAGGCTGCACTGATTTGAGAACACTCTGAACCAGGAAATGATGCCTTTGCCCAGAGAAAGGGAGATCTCTCAACAGATGTTTGCTCTATGGTCCGCATCCATTCACCCTTTGCCCCAAATTGTGCCTGAAATTTCCTCTGAGGAATCAGACCTTTCCACTCACAGTTTAGGTGCTTGGGGTAACATTGAGTCATCTCTAGCTGTAGAGTGAGTCTGGCTAAAGACAGCCTACTGTCTCCTGGCCACAGTGCCAGTTCATGCAACACAATTATAGGCAATGACACCAAGGACTTGCTTTTTCCCTCCCTACTAAAACCTTGAAGGATGAGGCCTGACCTGGGGGCAGGCACCTAATACCACATGGAGGATCAAAAAGCTGGATGAGCTGGGCATGGTGGCACATGCCTGTAATACCAGCACTCAGGAGGCTGAGGCAAGAGGATCACTGTGAGTTCGAGACCAGCCTAAACTGGTCTTGGGCTACAAAGTGAGCTTAAGGCCAGCTAAACTGCATAGCAAGAACTTGTCTCAAAAAAAAAAAAAAAAAAGAAGCTGGAGAAGAGAACAGGACCTAATGACATATGATCTCAACTCATATAATCCTTCTATAGGCTTTAAATTTGTGACATGAAGTAATGCCTCCTGGTTTAGGCCAGTTTAGGGTAAGCCTTTATTATTCACCACTGGGAGAAAATATTGAACACTTACAATTTAAAGGAGGAGATGTTTGTTTTGGCTCATGGTTTGAGAAGTTTCAGTCCATGGTCACCTGGCTTTGAGGCAAAAACATCATGGTGGAAGGATATCTCACATCATGACCACCAGGAAGCAGAGAGAGAAGGAAAGAGCCCAAGAG